GTCCAAGTGCAGAAGCCAGTACTTCTTCTGCGTCAGCCGTCTCTACGGCCGCCTTTTTTGATCGAATGCGGTTGCGATTTTCAATGTAAATTAAAATCACTGGGCATAAGTTGGGTTCAAGTGGGCCTTACTGAGTCATTTTTGAGATTATTTTTCCCATGGGTCGATTAAATAATTTATTATCAAAGGAATATGATCGCATTATTGAAAATTTCTTCAACGGCCAGCTTCATTCGGCTTTTCAAGTTTTCTGCAACAGCCATTTAACTAGCACCTGAACTTCCTAAACGAACAAATAATTCACTCACTTTCCTCCTTTTTCCGCCAACAACAAATTGACCAGCTGATTTATCCTGAATCTCATTGGCTTTGAGGTGATAAATAGTAAATACCTCCAAGGAAACTACGGGATTATCCTAAAGGGAATAGCTTGACTTACTGCATAGGTAACCATGCTCCTCTCGGTGTTTACAAGGCCTTCTTCAGCCTAAAAAGTCAAGCCCTCAATGATTTCTTAAGTCTAACGCGCAGCGAGAAGCTGAAAAGTATGAGAACCCAAAGAGGAGATTCATAGTGACAGGGAAGTCCCACCTGGCAGGCATAACATTCCCATCCAGTCTCTGCGAGGCAGTACTTGCAGAAGGTTGCAGGGCATTCCACACAAAAGTACAGTTGTGCAGGTTTCATGTTTTGCTGAAAAAAGGCCGAAATTTTCCGAGAAAAGCATCTGATTAAAAGCAATTATGGCTGCTTTAAGGTTTAATATAAGGGTAGGGTTTCGACTGAATTTGTTTCCGTGAATAGATTAGATTCTGAGTTTTTTGTACCTCTTTTCTGTAGAAAGGCGGTGCAGCATCTGAGTTGTTCTAAGGGACACTTCTTTGGCAAATTTCATACAAATCAAATAATCCCCGAGAGAATGAAGGAATGTGGGCATGGATGGGGATACGGTTTCAACCGATCATGGCTCAATCGAATTTGAACCTCGAAGGTACGGCAATGAGCAATCAAGTCCCTGATCCCTGACCTTAAAATTCTCCCACCTGACACATGAGGCACTGGCCGGTTCGGAAGAGCCTGTCCAGAATATTCCGCTTGAACCATGACTGGTAAGATAGCCATCCACTGAAAGGCAAATTTGTGATTGTTTCCACAAGAAAAAGGTTCTGTTCTAACCCTTCGTCGTGTTCTTCGTTTATCTTCCATCTCTCAACCATGAAACGAATACGAGCTCTTGCTTCGACACGATGTTTCATTCTCAGAAAAAGAACCTCAATTCGACAGGATTATATGAGTTTATGACTTTCGATGAAAGACTTTGAGACTTGCCCCTCAAAGATTTTTGATCTTGCCCTGAACTTTACTGTTTTTGCCGTTGCTGTTGTCTTGTTGTTGCACATTGAAATCAAATGACAGTAGGGAAATGTCCTATCATACCTTATTGTAGAGAAAGATTATTCGTACACGATCCCGAAGTGGGAACATGAATGGCATGAAGTAATTGATAATAATTCGTCGGACCACAAAAGAGAAAATCACCTGAAAACTCAGTTTTAAGGGTGTACTCAGTTCATTAGAGCAATAATAGGCAGAATCATGAATGTGTCCGAAGGCAGGTCTGCAACATCTGAGCTTGGGGCTCCTGACCCCCCAGACTGCTGATTAATATTGATCAAGGCTATAAATTCATCCTCCGGATTGGAAGAAAATCGTGGATATCGCTATTAATTCAGTTTTCAAAAACCACTAGCAATATAGTTGGTTCTAACACACGGTATTGATCGAAATTATCGATTTTCACTAGGGATCTGTAAAAATTCTGAATAGGATCGTACAACCAACGTAATAACTAGAAGCTGTTCCTAAGCCGTCAATATAAGGCGACTGATCGACGAGGGCTGGGAAGAGAATTGATTGCCCTTTTTCCTCTTTGAAAATAGTTATAAGAAATAAAAATTATTAAAAATTTTATCAGTACGAGAATCACTCTACCTGAATAAGCAGTGAGATGACCAGCGGAATGATGATCCAAGCAAAGATATGTCCAAAATCTGGTCGTTGTGGTGGTAGCAGACAGTGTGAATTCGTCATTGTCTAGATGGCCCATAATCTCTGACAGGCCCAAATAAGGGCAACTTTGATTACTAGGGAAACCTACGTTGTCCACTTCAACTGTACGATTATCGGCTATCATTGCACGTATGAAATTCGAGACAATTCCTTCTCCTTCTACCTAAACGAGTAGAAATTGCAATCGTGCCAAGTTTTGATTCATGTTTGAGGTTGGAGTGGTGCAGCTGCAAGCGGGCTCTGTCCTCACCTCAACTGCAGCGCTTGACGAACCAATTTGTTCGATTTTTGTGTGCGAAGCCGACACGACCTGCAAAAAATGTTCCGTTTATTGTTAGTCAATTTTTTATTATTCCTTTTCTAGGCAAAAATTGGTCTGTCGGAAGTTCTCCGATAAATCTGATTGAGGACGACACTGCGACAAGGCAACACTGAAAAAGTGTGCAGGAGCTTTAGCAAAAATCAGCCCATGTGTGAAACAGGGATGAAGGAAGAAGGAAACTATCAGAAGTGGGAACAGTGATCCTCAGAAACCACGTTCAGACTTTAGGCGTGGCATCTGATCTTTGATGATGTCCAGCTGACACGACGTTTCAGAAAATGTAGAAGAAATCAAGGATTTTTACATTTTGATAGTCGCTGATAATTTTCGTCACTTTGGAGGGATTTTTATATCATACCGCATCTAGAAATGCATATAGATAGTAGTCGAGGACAATGAGCAGTATAGCAACGAATGTAGTGACGAACCAACTCAGAAGAGCCACCTTTGCTCTATCCATTTCGGCTCTAGTCGGCATGCTGAAAACATTTCGCACATGACGTCATCCTTTTAGGGTCGAATTTGACCAATTTCTTCCCCTTCGTTATCTCGGTTAACTCGGGACGTAGGGAAAAGGCTATTTATGCTATGTAGAACAACGGCAGGGATAGAGAGAGCTATGGTCGCTTCCTTCTCCTCTTCCCCCCTTTCCTTCCCCATACCCCATTCCAGCAGTCCGTATAACAATACTCAGTCTCTCTACAGCTTTAAAATACGATTGCTAGGCTCACATTCGCCTTTTTCCAGGATGAAAAGAGTGAACTTACAGTCTCCAGGTTCTCGACAGCTCACCTCATTACATTCATCAGTCTCCAGCTTCTCATCTCTTCCTTAGAAATGTGACGAATCGCTTGCTGACCAAGCAACTCTCGATGGTGGTCAATTTGCCAAAACAGTCTGGAATTAGTTTTTCTCACAAAATTCAGTTTTTTATTTTACAAATTTTCATTTATATTATTGCTAAAATAAATTCATTACCCCGTTATAAAATGATTGTTAAAGTTAACATCTGTACGATAGTTTTCAATCATGTTCACGGCATCACGGAAAATCACATATACATAGAAAATGAACAGCGCTTGAAGAACTTGTGAAACGGTCTTCAGAACAACCTGAAAATACAGTATCTCAGCAAAGGTGCAAACTGAGGATTACTGTAAAGCTTCTGAAGCTACTGTGCTTCGTGCCTTGACATAGTTCGTTCCAATGCTGACGGCCATTTTCAGTTGGGATACTTGGAATACGTTTTCTATGCGAGGCATTTCAACCAACATCATATGTAACTGAAAAGTTGTTAACAGTTCTATCAACTGCCGAGATCGAAGTAAACCATAACCGGACAACGGAATGAGCCGTTAGCAATCATCATTTCGTTCGGATACGCCATGCAATGGACCGCCGGCCGGCATTCTCGAATAGGCATAGCCATAAGATAAGCATAAAGTGGAGGCCTACATTTACTTGTAGCTCAGTATCGAGGATATTTGTGAGATTCACAACGTCGTTCATATCCCCTTCCATTGAATTACTCATGCGTGCGGCTGCCATGTATTTTTTGCATGCATCAATAGATTGAAGACGACGTTGAAGGACCTGAAGACCAGAGGAAGTTAGAAAAATACCTGAGAAATCTGAAGATTGCGTACGTCCTGCGTATTTATATTATTTGTAGTGATACATGCCAAAACATTGTCTATATATTCATTTGTATACTATAATTTGCATACCTTGTATAGATGATAATCCCAATTTTTCAGCTCTGTAACCTACTCGTCTTACCCCGTTTACAGGGGCTTTTTAATCAGAAGGATTTCTTCAAAAAATTGAGTATTCAGCGGCTCGAATCAACCCACATTGCAAGCTTCCTCTGCGTTTAGTTTGGGGCATACGAAAAACATGAGATACCATGGGAGTGTTTCATAGCATTTATCCTGAAAAATTGTCGAACTAAACGGCCAATTCGTCAACAGGGGCATAAGGGTAGAGGTGGAGAGAGGACAGGACGAATAGGAAAAGATTCTGGTTCGAATCGAGTGGAGAGCAATTAGTGGAGGGGTGGGAGGTTATGAAAAAGAACTGGGAGAAGCATATTTAGATGAGGATAAATCATCCAAAACTCGAGTCGAAAATCCTCAATTGAATTGCAACCAGAAGGAAGGTCTATCTCTTTTTAGGGTCATCCACTCAGCGGTTCAGTGATGATATGTTCCAGGGTGAAATCGATAAAAAACTTCTTTGCTAACCTTTACCGACGACATAAGATTCTGACATTTGTCTACTCCCTTTACAAATACGTCATTACATCTTTTTGCTACTCTTCTGGCTATCTGTCGGCCATGCTGGAATGAAAACACAGTTTATGGTTGGCTTTTTAATTTATACAGTAAGCTAACTTGCAGTGAAACAACTTTGACTAAACCTACACTGGTTTTGAAATCAGCCCATGTTGGTTTTGAGGAAAGCAGCTTGTCCGCCTTCTCTTTCGACATCCCTAACGATTCCTGTTCTTCGGCTTTCTGTTCAGCTTCAGATTTTTCCTCATCCTCCATTATTGACTTGAGAGCTTTTCTTTGAGCAAAACTCTGAACAAAAACTGTTGCTGTGCTGTATAACCATGAGAAGTGCCTACTTTTATAATTGGAAACGAGAATCAGCGTCTATACTCGGCGAATTCGCAGCAGCTACCTTTAGGGACCTGAACCAGCATATCGCACGCCTTCCTTAGAGCGCCATAACCAACTCCCGCTTATCGAAAACGTCGTGGTTTCGTTCCTTCACTTATTTCTCCCCCATGCCATCATGTGATTTTTTTTTCGGAGCATCGGAGACACAGAGTTTAGTTGTCCCTGCTGAACCCATCCCACCGCAGTGCCCAGCAAACCTGCACAGCCACCCGGTGTTCGATGATGGGAAAAGTCTCTCGGATCGGACGGGCAAGCAACTAGAGGCTAATGATTTACAGTTGCTAAACAAAAAGAGTTCGCCATACATTTAACTGAGCATCACGATCTTCCATTTTCTTGTCCTCCTTAGTTCGAGACGCCTTGAGTTCTGCCATGAAAGGTGTCATTATTGCTCTGATTTTCCTAACAAGGTTCCGCAGCATTTCGAGACCGATCTCTAGAGTAAAATCTGATTTTCCAGGTTTCCTTCAACCTTCACGTCCCGAACTTTAAAATCAAAAAATGCCCCCTATCTCAAACTATTCAATGGCTACATTATGCACTGGGCAGCGAGTTATACTTCAATCTCCTTAGATTCATACGCAAGGTGATGACGTAAATGATACAGTACTTACCTAGCTGCTTCTCGAGAACGGCCTCCACCGGTTCAGTGAGCATTGACACTCGATTCGTAGCTATTTTTGCTTGTAGCTCCAGGTGACATAGTAGAATCTCCGCTGTTCTCTAGAATATTAAAGCTTACTCCAGAAAAATCTCAATCTTACATTCTTTTCGAGTTGTGCAGACTTTAGACTCACACTGACTCATCTGATCAAGGTACGAGTATCGACTGAGAAAGCGCCAAATCAATACCTATCCTATAGTACGCGCGCTTAACTGATAAGCTGCAATCAAATGGGTCAAACCTGAAAATTGCTGACAATGTTGGTTATTGGCCCTTCGTTCAAGTTGTGAAGAATCAGCAGCGATAATGGGGCTGTAAACAGCGGGCTATGTAGTGGGTACTATTGGATTCAGAGGGTCTACATTCACATACCTTGGCCGTTTTTTCCCAGAGCACCGAACAGAACACACAGCATCGCACACCGAAACATCTAAAGTAACTAAATTTATTAAAACTAGGTAAAACTGACTATAACTGAGCTTGGATTCAGGCTATACTTTGCGGCAAATCCATTCGTTAGCTGTTCGGTCATTAAATCGCAATTTATCGCAGATCGCAATGGATCTATCGACAATGAGAATTACCAACTTTCAGAGTCGAATGTGAGGCCGAAAGTTTGAACGCTGAACCCAATGCTTATAATAGATATTGAATTTTGAGCTGCAGGTGATCCACCAAAGTATGGTGTCAGCCACGACATCCGCTTACCGGACTGAGGGCGAAGGCGCATGCCGTCGAGAGTATCATGAACCATTTGAAAACGAGACCATAGACGACATGAAAATCGGCAAAATTGAGTTTTTTCCAGCCGAAATAGTAAAGAAACGAGCAAAAAACGATCCCAATAAGCAGATTGAGTAAAACACGAAGTCGTCGATAATCCGTTATTTCACTGAATCATCTAGATCGCTTTGAATTTCGTTTGTACAGTAATCTTGGAGGCATACCTTCGCAGGAAGTAGTCCTCAAGAAAGCCAACTCCTGTTTTCTGACGAATTTTCTTCCGCCGCTCATCTGTAAAGTAACCACCACCTCCCATACGAAGGTAAGAGCAATGAACCTGCTTGAAATGCTTTATTCTCTACACAACCAGATAAACAATTGNGCAGATTGAGTAAAACACGAAGTCGTCGATAATCCGTTATTTCACTGAATCATCTAGATCTTTGAATTTCGTTTGTACAGTAATCTTGGAGGCATACCTTCGCAGGAAGTAGTCCTCAAGAAAGCCGACTCCTGTTTTCTGACGAATTTTCTTCCTCCGTTCATCGGTAAAGTAACCACCAGCTCCCATACGAAGGTAAGAGCAATGAACCTGCTTGAAATGCTTTATTCTCTACACAACCAGATAAACAATTGATATGATATCGAAACTTTCCCTGACCATATTACATGAGTGCTGACCGAGTATGCGAGTAGCAGCTGATAGAGTAAGTTTAGTAGTTTTGAATGATATCAAGGAAGCAGCCAAAAAGACAACCGAGGAACCAGGTCTCATGAGGTTTAGTTTATACTCAGCAAATAGCCGCCAGTTGAAAACCCGATATGTGCTTGTCTTTCGATGAAATAGGTTATGGCTAGTCAATTTGGCCTGCCTGCCGTCAGATTGACTAGCCAGAGAAGGGTGTAGTGGGAAGTGGCGCACTATATCGGACGCACGGTCAGAAGTTCGAATCTCGGATCGATGCCCGCCTAGGCCAAGCAAGCCTTCCATTTCTTCGGGGGTCAGTGATTGGTACCAGACTTATCTGGGAGGATAAAAAGGCACTGACTTGTACATCGGCTGGCCACCGCAAGTCATTGTATAGGCCACATACGCACTCA